ACCTGTTTTGTCCAATAGTATTAGTCCCTACAGAGTTCTGTTCATTGTTGTTTTTTAATATTTTATTTATTTTTATTTTATGTGTATGCATGTATTGCCTGCACGTGTGTTAGTATACCTATATTGTGCAATGCCAGTGGAGGACAGAAGAGGGTGTCTGGTCCCTTGGAACTGGAGTTATGGATGGTTGTTATCCACCATGTGGGTGCTGGGATTTGAACCTGGGTCTTCTGTAAGAGCAGCCAGTGCTCTTAACTGCTGAGCCATCTCTCTAGCCCCTCACCTGTGTATTTTTATGATTTCTTTTATCATTTTAATAAGTATCTGCAATAGATGAAAAAGTCAATTCCCATTTTATAGATCAGGAAACAGATTCAGGAACATAAGTATTTGGTTAAGGTAAAAAGGTTAGATAAATGGCAGTGCCAGAAATGTGGCATAGCCTGGAATTTCTATAGTATTCTCCATCTGCAGAATAAGTAGATTTTCTTGTAGAATAGAAAGTTTTAATTTTCTCAGAAGAGAGTTTTAAAAGATATATGACAGCAGAATGTACTTTTATATACACTGAATAAAAATTTAATTTTTTTAAATGTTAATTTTTTTATTCTTTGAAAATTGAATTATATTTCTTATCAGTGAAGCAACATATTAAACTAACATATGTAAACATTCCACTGAAAAAAATAGTAAACATACTAAAACATTCTACTGAAAAGTTTTTTGGTTTTTTTTTTTTTTTTTGGTCTTTTTGAGACTGGGTCTCCCTGTAGCTCCAGCTGTCCTGGAACTCACTATGTAGACCAGGCTGGCCTTGAACTCACAGAGATCTGCCTGCCTCTGCCTCCCGAGTGCTGGGATTAAAGGCATGCACAACCATGCCCAGCTATTTATTTTTTTAATGGGGTTTTTGGCTACTCTAACATTCCCCCCTCTGAAGAGGTAACCCTAAAATTTTTTAAGGATTAAATAAAAGCTCCTGAATATTTTTACATTTTTGGCCTTTGGAATGGAGTATGTTGCTAAGAGGCCCAAGAACATTGTAAGTTTTAGCCAAGAAACTGGCTACTTTCCTTTGGGGTCTTTTTACCCTAACTGCCTAGCCAATTCCTACCTCCTGTTCTCATCACACCATCCTCTGAAGGGGTTACCCAAATTGCCAATAGGGAATCCGGACGCAGACCATTCTGGCATCTTCCATGCTGAACAGGGATTCAGGATGAGGCAATTGGAGTACCCCTTCAGTGGGTCTATCTAAAAGACTCCCAAATTGCGATAACTCTTATCTCTAGGGGGAAAAGAAAGTCCTTGAATCGGGACTAGGAGATGTGAAGGAGAAGTAAAGGCAAGAGTAAGTAGCATTACAAGTTCTAGACAGGGAACTAGAAAAAAGTCAGAACAGGGCAATTTTCAAATGTTCATATGAGAGTCCATTGGAATTTCTTGACAAGGACTTCCAAAAGCATCCCTCTATTCCTCATTTTTCTTTTGTCTTCCAAGGACTCTAGAGTGATAGATTCAGGATTTGCTTTCAGGTATTTTGATAGCTTTTGGAGTGGTTAGAATCAGTGTCAGTTCCCTCTCAAAGGCTTCACCGAGTGGAGGCAGGATGGGGGCTCTCAACCAGTTCCCTGCGTTCTCAAGCTCTCTGCCCGAGGGAGGCCCTGGGGGAAGCCAGAACTCTCTCTCCAGAGATCTGCTGAGATAGAGATGCTACACCAATGGAGGTGCGAACCCACCCTCTCAGACTGTCTGCTAGGATCTCAGCCTTAGCCTACCAAAGCCAGATCTGCCCTAGGGCCTTGGGAGGGGCCTCACAAAATCCCCGGAGGGGATATGTATGGGCAAATAGGGGAAGCTCACCACCATGTGGAGGCAGAATCCAGGGACTTTCAGGTAGTCCCCTGCCTAAGGGAGGCCCGAGGGAGGCCAGAACTTGGCACTCTCACTGTTAATTTTTTAATTCATGGTATAAACTCATCTTTTTGGTTTGTTGCTGAACTTAATAGTGTTGATAACTTACTAGGAATTTTGTGTGTGTTCATGAATGAAATTGACCCATTGTTTTTCTTTTTCATAATGCTCTTGTAAGATTTTAGTATGTTTTTCTGGCATTATAAATTGAGTTGAGGTATGTTTGCTTTCTTCCAGTTCTCAGGAAGAGTTTGTGTAAGATTGATGTTATTTTTCCCATAAATGTTTGGTATAATTCCCTGGTGAAGCCATCTGTATATTGAGTGTGTGTGTGTGTGTGTGTGTGTGTGTGTGTGTGTGTGTGTGTATGCACGTGTGCACGCGCCAGAGGACAAATTTTGGGAGTCAGTTCTTGCCTTCTGCCTTGTTGAGGCAAGAGTCTTTCTTGTTTCTGCTGCAGTGCTGACCCAGGAGCTTCTGGGTGATTCTCCTGTTCCACATCCCATCTCACTGTAGGAAATGTTAGAATTACAAATGTGCCCCACCATATCCAAATCCAGCTCCAGGAGTCAAACTCAGGTTATCAGGCTTGTGTGGCTAGTGCTTTTCCCCGCAGGGACATCTCCCCAGCCATACAATGTTCTTGTATGTTTATGGAAATAGATATAAAGTAAAGATATAAAATATTTATAATTAAAGATTTAACTTTATCATATAGATTCAATAATATTCAGAGTTTATAAACGTAACTTTTAATTTCTTCAAAGAAAAGTTATAGGAAGTGCAGTGGTGCATGCCTTTAATCCCAGCACTTGGAAGGCAGAAATAGGCAAATCTTTGTGACTTCAAGGCCAGCCTGGTCTCCATTGCAAATCCAGGCTAGCTGTGGCTACAGGGAGACCCTGTCTCAAAAAAAAGGGGGGGGGGTCTGGAGAGATGGCTCAGCAGTTAATAACATGGGATGCTCTTGCAGAGGACCCAGATTCAGTTCTCAGCACCCACATGGCAGCTAACAACAGTCTGTAACTCTGGTTCCAGGAGATCTGACACCCTTTTTTGGCCCCTATAGGCATTGCATGCCTATGGTGCACTTACATACAATGAACAGTCATACACATAAAATAAAAATAAGCCGGGCATGGTGGCGCTTGACTTTGATGCCAGCACTTGGGAGGCAGAGGCAGGCGGATCTCTGGGAGTTCAAAGCCAGCCTGGTCTACATAGTGAGTTCCAGGACAGCTGGGGCTATAGAGAAACCCTGTCTCAAAAAGACAAAAAATAAAATTAAAATAAATTAAAAAATTAAAACAACAATAAAAAAAGCCCTATTGTATCATATGCTGTTTCTGGTAATTTTTTGAGGAATTACATATGTTTTCCAAAATGACTGTACTGTACCATTTTATATTTCTATCAGCAGAGAACTGTTGAGATTTTGTGTATTCAATTGTGTGTTTACTCTTTGTATTTCTCTAGGAATGTCTGTTTTACCACACTCTGAAATTTATTGTCGTGATAGTGTAATGTTTTTAGAATCTAGTGATTCCTGTTTTTTTGTTTTGTTTTGTTTTTATTCTGGCACTGCTTACTTAAATCTTTTTCTTCATTTAAAATAAAATCAGTGTTGCTTGAAACTTCCAATTTAGGTCAGTGAGATGGCTCAGTGAGTAAAAGTGCTTGCCACCAAGCCAGACTACTTGAGTTTAATCCTTGGGACTTACATAGTAAAAGGAGAGAACCAATTTCTGCAAGTTGTCCTCTGACCTCCTAATGACAGACAGACAGAGTGGATATAATAAATTTAGAAAAAGAAACTTCCAGTTTATCTTTTCAAATAATTGAGTTTGTGTTTTTTCATCATTTTGTTATTTGATTATTATTGTAGATTTATTTATTTTTCTTTCATTTTTTTTTTTTTTAGACAAGGTCACACCCAAGCTACCCTCCACCTCACTATGTATCCAATGCTGACCTTGAATTTCTGATCCTTCTGTTTCTGCTTCTTAAATGTTGGGATTTCAGGTGTCACCACCCCACCTAGCCTACACGTCTGTATGTGTGTGTATCTGTGTATGGTGTATGCATATGTGTACACATGTTTGTGCAGATGTACTCACCCATGCAGGTGCACATAGAGACCAGAGGTTAATAGCAGGTTGTTTTTCCTCATCACTTGTCCTAGTTTGTTTCTCCATTGCTGTGACAAAACACTCTGACCACTACCAACTTGGGGAGGAAAGGCTTTATTCAGCTTACATCTCTCAGGTCACAGTTCATTGGGGAGCCCAAGGTAGGAACTCAGGGCAGGAACCTGGAAGCAGGAGCTGGAGCACAGGCCATGGAGGATCACTGTTTACTGACTTGCTCCCCTGGCCCCTGCTCAGCCTGCCTTCTTATGCATCACAGGTCCACCTTCCCAGGGGTGGCACCACCCACATCAACAATCAAGAAGATGCCCCATGGATATGGCCACAGGCCAGTCCAATGAAGGCAGTTCCCCAATTGAGGCTCAACCCAGGTGAGTCAAGTTGACACTAAGGCTATCCAGAATATCATTTCACCTTATTTTTTGAGACAGAGTTTCTCACTGAGCCTGAAAACTCAATTTCATTTTATCTGGCTAACCAGTGAGTCCCTGGGGTCCTCCTGTCTCCACCCCCAGTGCTTGGGTTACAGGAGCACCTGCCCTTCACATAGTTCTGGGGAGCCAAACACAGGTCCTCGGGCTTAAACAGCAAGCACTTTTCCCACTAAGCCATATCTCTAGCCCCCATTTTACTTTTTGTATTAATTTCTCCTCTTGTCTTTCTTTTCTTTTTCTTTTCATTTATTTTATAATTGGTCTGGCCTGACATGATTGCTAACCTGAATTTGCATTCTCTCTGTCTCTTCCAGAGCATGGCTATTCATTTGTTTTTAATGAAGAAAAGTGGGTCAAGAAAATGGAGGTGCTAGGAATTTTATCATTAACATTATCATTATCATTAACATTTATCAACTATGCTTATAGTTCTAATATAGTCTAGTTGACAAGATTATATAAATACAGGTTTTGCCAGTATAACTCTTTTTTTTCTCCCTGGCAGGACCTGTTGGGGCCCAGCCCCTACTCATAGTGCCCCGAAGACCTGGCTATGGCACTATGGGCAAACCCATTAAATTGCTGGCTAACTGTTTTCAAGTTGAAATTCCAAAGATTGATGTCTACCTCTACGAGGTAGATATTAAACCAGACAAGTGTCCTAGGAGAGTGAACAGGTAAGAGTCATGAGATTGTAGCATTTATTTGCTATTTGTATTTATGTCACTAATTATATATGTCTATCTTGTATATTTGAATAACAGTAGTAATATGTAACAGTTTGACCAGGAATATATGGTAATTTGTTTGAAATGTATTGTGCTTAAGAAGTGTGACAGTAAGAAAAATTGTCAAACACCCTCCAGGTTATCCCATTTTAAATGAGCTTATGTGTTTTCCATGTGGTAATAGAAAAGGTCCAAATCATTTTGACTTGCTTACTGACTTATTTTGACATATTTTTAAAATCTAGCCAAGCATCTTGAGCATATCTTTTGTATTGCTCTTAGGTAACTGGCTTGCCCCTCACCCCCCCCCCAATTTTCATGTTGCTCCCTTTAAGATAGGTAGCAGTGGTGGATAGAGATGGTGATTGTCCTGGTTTTTCAAGCTTTCCATTATCCTGTTCTCAGTCCCTGACTATTCCTTACTCTAATCTTAGCAAATGTGGCAGATATGAATTTATCAGCAGCTTTCAGTAAGCGTCTTATGCCATTCCCCAAAGACATAGAAATTCTTGGTTGTAAATTGGGTAATATAGATAATGTAAAAGGAAATTATAATGTAGTATTACCATGAATATTCTCATAAAAATTCATTTTTGTCTCGTGGTGCTAGGCAAATGTTATACCACTAAACTACATTTTCATGCCTAAATTTAAATTTTATTATTATTATTATTATTTGTGTGTATGATGTATGTGTGTGTGTGATGTATGTGTGTGAGTGTAGGTGCAAGTGTGTCATGGCATGCATGTGCCATTAAGTGTGTGTGGACATCAGAGGACAACTTTCAAGAATTGGTTCTTTCCTTACACTGTGATTCATGAAGATCAAACTGAAGTCATCCTGCTTGTGCAGCAAGCACTTTATACCACTGAGCCGTAACTACATTTTTTACTTTACTTTAATTTTTTGTTAAATTTGTTTTCTGACAGTTGTATACATACATATAATACATTTTGATTACTTTCACTTCCCACAACACAGGACTGGGGAGATGGCTTAGTCAATAAAGTGTTTGCACAGCAAATATGAGGACTTCAGTTTGATCCCCAACACCCATGTAAACAGCTAGACATGGTGGCATCTGCCTATAATCGCAGTGCTGGGAAACAGAAATAGAAGGATGCCTGGGGGCTTGCTGACCAGCCAGTCTAGCCAGTCAGTGAGTTCTAGGTTCAAGAGAGATCCTGCATCAAAAAATAATGTGAATGGGACTAGAGAGATGGCTGAGTGGTTAAGATTGTTTCCTGCTCTTCCAGAGTAAGTTCAGTTCCCATCACCCACATTGAGCAGCTCTCAGCCACCTATAACTCCAATTCCAAGGGATCCAACACCCTCTTCTTGCCTCCCTGGGCACCACCCACAGTGCACATTCATTCACATAGACCCACCACAGGCATAGTGGCACATGCTTTTAGTTCACAGAGGCAGGTGGGTGGATCTCTGTGAGATCAAGGCCAGCCTGGTTTACATAGTGAGTTCTAGGCCAACTGGGGCTACAGGGAGACCTTGTTACAAAAAAATAATAATAATGGTAGTGATCATAATGATAATAATGTGGGAAGCCACTGAGGAAATGCATTTTGTTTATATAGTTTGTGTATGTATATGTGTATGGGCACACATATGCCACAGCACATGTGTGGAAGTCAGAGGACAATTGGTGAGAGTTGGTTCTCTTCCTTCTACCATGTGGGTCCTGGGGATCAAATTCAGATCCTCAGGCTTGTACAGCAAGGACTTTTATCCACTAAGCCATCTTGCTGGCCCTCAGACCCTTATTTCTTATCTAGATATTGTCAGATCTTCTAACTTGTCTTCAATAACATCTTTCTCTGCCTTTCTACACTTCTGGCGTAGTTATCTTTTTTTTTTTATTTTACTTTAAAACTTTTATTATTTTTTTTTAATTTTTAAAAATGATTTATTTAATAACAACATACTTAGAAGAAGCATATCATTACAACACAATTGACATACTCAATAACAATTTCCAGAGCAAAGATACATCTCTTTCAAAAGTGGCTATAAATTTTTAGGTTCATAGTTGAATTAATACAGTTATACAATATTGAATTGAGTATAAACCCTGTAAGACATAAAATTGAATGAGTTTTTACCCTTAAAAGAAGGTTTCCATTTCACTTTAAGATCTGCTATTTCCTACAT